CTATTCAGCACCGTATCAGGACCCCACATGTTAGCCAGCTGTCTATACATCTGCCTGTCTAGAAAGAAAGACGACAGACAGATAGATTAATGCGTGAATGTGCGTTTGATTACTTGTATCATGTTTAATTGAGGTGTTTTAACATCCCCTGCAGTTTAGTTTTTCAGCAGAGCAGCCCGTGTCGAGGGAACATTTTTCCCGAATAACTCATTTAGTTTTTATTAATAGATGACGGTAGCCTATTCCACGTACCTGAGAACAATAAGCCACTTTGAAGATTGAAGCTCCCAGAGTCTACCGTTTACTAACAGCAGCTCAGCCACGCAAATCATATATAACATTAATGCATAATGTTAAGTTTTATTAAAGCGTGCTGACTATATTTTCTTCCACACAATGCATTTTTTAAATAATAGTTAAAATCTCCCATGATCATTTTCGTCACTGTCTCTGTAGGCACATGTTTGTTTTATGGTGTGTAGGTCTGAACAAGACATTCAACATACATTTATAAGATGTATAAGAATACAGCATTTGAATTGATTTGTAATTGTGAATTGTAAACTTATTCTTCAATCAGCAGATATTCCCTTTTTGTGTAATTTAACAAATAAAATTGACTTGTCATTTATTTTACTGCTGTTGTTTGGTTTGTTTTATTGTGAACTTTATTTTATCAGTATTTAGTATAAACAATTCCTGTTTCAGTCCTGTCGGTGGTCTGTTATTACCATATTCAAACACAGAGCAGGGCAGTCTGAGAAATCATTTTTATTCTCTGTGTCACTTTAAGATGCTAGATCAGTTCAGAATCATGAAAACAATAAGAAAACTCTCGCTAAGACCTCCTTCACATCAACAAACTGCTGTTTCTCTCAGTTTAATCTTTATTCTCTGAATAAGGAGATGTCATCTGAACGGACCATTCGGGAGCAGCCTTTTATGTAAGAGCATTCTAGTTTAAAACCATTTTAAAGTTGCTGCTAAACAAACTGGCTCCTCGGGATGTACAGTTTCTCCCTCCTTCAGATCTGCGCCCTGGATCTGGAGCTTAAGTTGGCTGTGCTGGTCTCACTGGTCCTGCTGGTTGGCAAACACTCCGGCCTCCCAGCGCAGAGCTCGCTGGTTTTTATGTCTAAACACTCGAGTTGACTCCACAACCTGAAAACAGACAGGAGAGACAGAGAGATTAAAACATTTTCAGCCATAAAAAACACAATTTTCTTCAGCAACAACAACAAAAAGTAAAAGCTTCCTCCTCTCCCCTGCTCTCCTCTCCTCTCCCATTCTCCCCTCCCTCTCCCCTGCTCTCTTTTCCTCTCCTCTCCCCCTCTTTTCTCTCCCCTCCTCCCCTTCCCTTAAATGGAGATTTTCCTCCCCGCTGTCTCCAAGTGATGCTCAAGGGGGGATTTGTTGGGTTTTTCCTCTATAATAATAATAACAATAACAACAATAGAATGGTCTAGAGCTTACTACATATAATGTGCTTCAATGACTTCTGTTGTGATTTGGTGCTATACAAATAAAATTTAATTGAAGCTGAATTGAAATGTGTCAGGTTGTTGTAGTCCGCAGACACAGTTGTGATGCTCATCTTCTAAATGTTGAAATATTCCTTTAAATGAAGGCATACCTCGTTGTTCACATCATCAATCGGTTGGATTCCTGCATACTGACAAAAACAACAGACATAAAGAGAAACTTTAAACTACTTCAGTCCAAATATTTAAAGTATCAGCCTACAGGAAAGGCAAACCACAGTGAAGTACCTGAACGGAAAACAGAGAGGGTCAAAGATGTTAGAGCCTACAAAATAAAAAACAAGCTGCGAACTTACTGAGTTCTCCTCCAGCTTCACTTTGATATGTCTGTCCTTAAAGTCCTGGAGCAGGGTCTCTGTTAGACCTCTGACCGGAGGTGGGGCTGACTGGAACAGCGCCGGAGAGGAGGGGGTCCCAGGCTGAGCAGTGTTAAAGGAGACGGAGGGCAGATGGATGAAGGGACGAGGGGAGGACAAGGACAGACTGATAGGTTTGTCTGAAACATAACAGAAGAGACAAGTGACATCGTCATGATGTCATATGTGACGCACCTCTCTCTGATACAAGTGACATCATCAGCCATTACTTGAAAAAGTGGAATTCTGGGTAACTACATGTGCAGTTTTATAACCTGTCACAGCAGGTGTGAACATGGCAACACTGAAAATTTGAGTTGAGTTTGAATCTTATTAAGTAATGTTTAAAAGCAGAATACATAAGAACACAGAAAAGTCGACAACAAGTTGAAATTAGAAAGGTCAGTGTATAGTGGTGTTCCACTAATTTAGAGAGATTTGCCAACCCTGGAAAGATAGTTCAAAAAGACAAAAAGCCCCAAGTAATGCAGGAACCACATGTTAGTCATGCTTAATAAAGGAAAAGAAGAAAGTCATGGCCCTGTTTGCAGCTTCCTGGTTTTCTGCATATACTGGTCATGAAATGTGATGTGATCTTCACCAAAGTCACAAACATCAACAAACACAACATTTCCAAGCTGATAAAACACAATTAGTCCTGATCTTTTATGTCTTTATTGAACACATTAAACATACACAGTGATGTGGACAAAGTCACGGCAGCAGGGTTTTAATAACCGGCTGAACCACCTTTGGCAGCATCAGCCTCCAACCAGCACTTCCTGTAGCTGTGGATCAGACCTGCACCATGTTCAGGAGGAGCTTTGGATCATTCTTCCTGACAGAGCTGCTTCAGCTCAGCCATACTCTCAGGACGTCTGATGTGAACATCTTGAGGTCATTCCACAGCGTCTCTGTTGGGCTGGGGTCTGGACTGACTGGGCTGCTCCAACAGGTGGACTTTGTGCCTCCAAAGCCATTCTATAGTAGATTTACTTCGATATTTAGGGTCATTATCCTGTTGCATTACCCAGCTTGTTCTGAGCCTCAGCTTGCCGACAGCCACCCTTACATTATCCTGTAGGACACCTGGAAAAATACCTAGGATAGTGTACTGCATCATTGACTTCATCTTCAATATGATCAGTCCACAACATTTGTCAGAAAAGCTGAGGCTGTTGGAGGTGGACACAGGTACCTGCAACTGGGTCTTCAACTTCTTGACTCAGTGGCTGCAGACGGACATGCTGGGCAGCCAAACATCAGGAACCATCACAGTGAGTATGGGCTCACCACAGGGCTGTGTCCTTAGTCCTCTGCTGTTTTGCCTGTTCAGCCATGATTGCAGTGCTAGAGTTAGCACCAATCACATCATCAAGTACTGTATGCTGACCACACAACCGTGGTGGGTCTCTGACAATGCTGAGTCTGCATACAGGTTGAGGTGGAGTATCTTACAGAGTGGTGCAGATTTCACAACCTTGCCTTCAGCGTGGGTAAAACAAAGACATGGTGATTGATTTCAGAAGGGCTGGCAATCACCACCAGTCTCTACTGATCATTGGGGGTGTGGCTGTGGAGAGGGTCAATAACATCACACTTTTAGGAGTCCACCTGTCTGATTACCTGACCTCTACCACCAACACCGCAGTAATTATCAAAAAAGCCCAGCAACGGCTCCACCCCCTCCAAAGACTCAGAAGAACAGGTCTCCCTCCTCATCTGCTCACCTCCTTCTACACGGGAACCATTGAACGTATAGTAACATACAGTCAAACCTCCTGGTTTTGGAGTCGCAAGGCTCACGAACAACAGAAGCTCAAAAGGATAGTGAAGACAGCCAGAAAAAAACAGTGATGCCCCTTTCCCCTGTCTGACGGAGATTTGCCAACAGTGCTGCATTTGCAGAGCCACCTCCATCATAAAGGGCCCTCTCCACCCTTCTCAAGGCACGTTTGAGGTATAGGAGTACTGGCTGCAGGTCCAGTGGGATGCTGAACTGCTTCTTCCCACAAGCTGTCAGGGTGACGAACAAACTGTTTCTCCCCACCTCCCACCCCCGAGACACACACACACACTGACTCAGCACACTGATGCTGCTGTATTATGCTGAGTGTATGTAAATATTGTTAACCTGGCTAATAAATAAAAAAACAATAAATAAATGATTTAATAGATAAAAATAAATCCATTCTACAAAATGTATTATGGGCTATATGTAAATTTAAATAAATTAAATATTAAATGCAACTTTAGATAAATAAATAATTCTATCACATATAATACAAACAAAAATGTTTTATTCTTGATCCATTAATTTGGTTTTTAAAAACTGAATGTTTAGCTAAGTTTTTGTCATCACAACATTTGAATTTAATGCTCAGCTTTATTTGTGTTGTCCTCTGTGTCATGATGTAACCTGTCCAGGAGGTGGGGCTGCTTCGCTCCATGTAGTCACCTGTGCAGGTGCAGCTGTGTATGGATCTTGATGTTTTAGATATAGATACTGCAGAATCTGGTTTTTTCATCACACCAGGCTGATGTCACCTTCTGGCTGCTGCTCTTATAGCAGGTATTTCAGCTTACAAACAGCTTATGTTTCCTACAAAGTTACAGACTTTCAGCTGAATCAGCATGAAACTGTTATGTTTTAAGCATCAGAGCCAAACATGAACAGCTGTGTTAGAAAATATTAGAATGAATGAATATTAATTATAAAAAAAAATTTAAGAACCTGATAAAACTTAACTGAACAAAGGTAATATTTCATTTTGATTACAGAACTGTGAAAAAATGAATACTATAACGATGATCTTATAAAAAAAAATTTAAAAACATGATAAAACTTAACTGAACAAAGGTAATATTTCATTTTGATTACAGAACTGTGAAAAAATGAATACTATAACGATGATCATCCTATTTCCATTGTTTTTATTATATATTAATTAGTTTATATGACAGCAGAAAAGCAATGTCAGAGCAACAATTGTTTTCTGCTTTTGTTGATCTAATTATTTTGCCAGAGTAAATCATTATGGTGGGACTATATAACTGTGATGTTGTAGAGCTTATAAAGCTTAGGGAAGGCGTCTGCTCACAGGCATTTTTATTAGGAAACAGGAGCAGATTCCCAACAACTCCAGAGTGAAGTGTAAATAATTTAAAATGGTGATCAGAACATAAACCTGTGTGATGGTCACATCATCCAAGAGGCCTTCTGTGTTCACAGTCAGATGATCCTTTGATCACAGAAAGAAGAATGTTCACCTTTGCTACTCTACAGAGTTTCTAACTGACGCGTGGTGACAGACTCAGACTGTGGTCTATTTTTGCAGTCCAGACTAGTTCAAATGTAAAGCTGAACAAAACAGTCAGGATGTTTGCTTCTCTAAACCTCAGTGTGTGTTCTCACGCCGAGACTGATGTGTGAATCCTGCAGGTTACTGATTTACAGAACCTGCAGCTGAACTCTTCGTCCTGAACCTCCTGAAGCTGCTGAACTTTGGTCATTATCTTGTTAAGTTACTCATTGTCTCCAGTTTACATGCGCCAAACAGCAGCATCCACACCAGGTTTATGGTGAGTATAAATCATCTGGGTTTTTATTCCTGCTCAGCACTTTCTAACTCCTTCGATTACACAGGTTTGAGATCATTTCTATGAAGATTAATCATCCATCCATCCATCATCTACAGTATACTGCTTATTTCTGTACAGGGTCGCGGGGGGCTGGAGCACTGGGCAAGAGGCGGGGTCCACCCTGGACAGGTCACCAGTCTGTCACAGGCCTGACATGTAGACAAACAACCACACACACTAACACTTGAAGATCAATAAGCAGAATGAAAATCCATCACAGTCCACATTGTGTCTGTCTGGCTGCAGTTCCTCTAACATCCACCAGATGCTGCTGTGTCAAGTTGTATTGAAGTGAATGAGAAAACTTCTCTCAGCACAAACGCTTTTACAGGAAGTCAGAAGGTCACGGTGCAACACTTTCACCAGACGTCACGGGGACCATATTCTACATCTGCTTCAGTCTAACACCAAGGCAAGACCAGCAAAACTCTGTGCAACACGTGAAACTCCGCTGACACCTATAAGCAGTCAGCTGTTCTATATCATAGTCCAGGGGTTATCAACCGTTTGTAACCTAAGGCCCACTTTTGCTTGTAAAAAATATCCAAGGACCACCTTCCCAAATAAATGAGGGAAAAAAATACAAGACAAAATAAAATATGGCTGTAAATATGTGTTATGCCACTGTGGCAGCAGCCAACCAGAGGGTGCTCTGAGGCCCACTGGTTGAGAAAGGCTGTTATAGTCTGACATGGTCTGGATTCTGGTCTGGAATGTTTCATTACAGGTGAGGTGGCTACTGGTTTTGTTTGTGAAAGCACACTAGCTTAAGTTACATTTTTTTGTACTTCTATGACTTCCAGCGCCATCCAGGCCAGATTCAATCCCCTTCACTCAAAGCTGAACACTGAGGCTCCCAAGACTGATGAATGTGGTGGTGAGCAATGAGGAAAATAAACAGGGAGCACACAGACACACCAGTCTGGTCACAGCACACATATAGTGCTATACCAAGTGAACTTTGGCATCAGTAAAAGCCGACGAGACATTGACTGTGATGGATTATCTCCCAGGTTCAATAAAAAAGGAACAAAATCAGCCCTCTGACTCTGGGTGTGCCTGCTGGTTTGACATTTATTGGTAACTTAGAATTTCTCTTTGGGAACTAGAATTTAAGAGAACTAATTTACACTGTGTTTGGTTTTATGGTCACTGTACATCCAAGAGTGGGTTATTGCTCTCATCTTAACATGTTTCTTCCTGCAGTGTGTAAAGACTACATACCTGTTTTTACAGCTGGGTAGAACTCCCTGACAGCTGTCTTGCTTGCCTGCTCCACCAGAGGAGCTGGAGAGAAGCACTGGTGCTTGGTTTCCTCCCTGGACTCCCTCAGCTCCCTCAGCTCCTGCTCCCGTCTCAGAGCATCCTCTATCTCCTTCTCGATGAAGTCTGGGGCTCCTGGTCCTCTGGACTGCAAACCAGCGGACTCCAGGTTCTCCTTCCACGACCAAGATGTGGTCAAGGTTGTTTTTGCCTGGGGTGCCAGGGAGAGAGAGATGGAAGAGGAGGAGGGGTGAGAGGATGAGATCCTTTGATCCTGGTGTAAACTTCTCATGTCCTGGACCTCTAAGTCCATCGCTGTGAAGGAAGAGGGAGCTGAACTCATCTGACTGAAGTACAACTTGGTTTCCTCAGGGTGTTGATGAGGAGACAAGAAGACTTCTGCCTCTCCAGACTCAGACAGAGGTCTTTCTTCTGTCCTCCCATCCTCACCTTGTTGGTCAAATGTCTTCTTTATGTCTGCCAGCTCTTGTGGAGCATCTTGGTTGTATTGTCCCAGGGTCCCTCCTCCCTGCTGCTGAGGTTCCTCCTTCCTCTGCTTCTCCTTCTGAATCTCTTGCTGGATGATGAAGCTCACTCGGTTCTTCTCTTTGGCCTTAATGGGCATAAGTGGTATCTGTGAACGTTTGGTGTTGATCTCAACCATCTCCAACCTGCCATCACTGTGCTTCAGGCCTCGAGACCGTCGCAGGTTCTCCTCACGTTCCTGAACTAATCGGATCTCCCTTTCAATCGGGGTTTCATAGTAGCTTGTGGAGTTATTGCTCCTGTTATCTTGCTGAGTGTTGTTCCTTAACATGCCTTCATTGCTGCTGTAGCCACCACTCCTCTCCACCGACAGCTCCTCCAGGCCAGAGTCCAGGTCATCAAACACACTGCTTTGTCGGCTCAGACTTTCCTCAGTTCGGCACACTGTCACCTTTTTCTCTTCTTCTGACAGTTTAAAATGAGTCATGTCTTCACTCATCTTCATGCTGCTGCATATCTCCACCTGCCTTGAAGAGGACATATCAGGGTCAGCCTGTAGTGACGTATTCAGGTGTGTTTTTGAGGAATATATAGGACTGACAAGTGCCATCAACCGGTCCTGCTCCATCTTCAGGAATTGTTGTCGCGCAGCACTAAAGTTGATCTGCTCCTTGTCAATTGTCCCAGGATCAGCAGGGTGGGGAGGCTCTGCTATGGAGCTGACAGGGCTGTAGCTCACACTGAAACCTTCTATCATTCTGTTTGTAGATCTGGTCAGATCCAGATTCTCCAGGGCACTCAACTGATCTTTGAATGTTGGATTCTTCTTTGGTGCTTGGCTGCGGATGATCTCCTTGCGAAGATGCTTTTCCTCTTCCTCACCGACCAATTTGATGCTGTTCTTTGGATCCACTTTGTACTGAGTGTCTTCATTGTTCTCAGAGAACAGACTCTCTGGTTTCTTGCTGCTCGTGTAGGTCTGAAGTTTGAAACTTTTCTTCTCCTTCAGAGTTGCTAGCTGAGCCTGCCGCTGTGGTGAGACCATCCAGGCTTCATTCAACTCAGCCTCGGGACTTGCAGGATCCTCCACAAAGGAGTAAAAGCCGCTGTGAGACCCCAGACTGCTGCTGGGACTGCTGGGGTTGCTGGGGCTGCTGGGATGCCACTCGTCACTTGTACTCCTCTCATCCTGTGACACCTCGACCTGCTGGGCCTGAACCACCACACCCTGGGACCCATCCCCCTGCTGGGAAGAGACTACCACCAAGGAATGGTTACAAGTGACAGAGATGTTGGCGCTAAAGATCGGCTTGTCCAGGCCGGGGGCTTCACTCCGGGCTGGAGCGGTGATGGTGCGCAGGTCCGAGGGTTGCAGGAGGGGGGACAGAGGCTTCAGCACCCACCTCCTTGGGGTGCTATCCATGGCTGCAGGGGACACTGTGGGACTGGCAGGAGAAGGCAGAGGTTCTGATGGAGGAAGATGATGAGATGATGAACAGAGCTTGATGTTTGAAAACTCAAAACATCCTGACAATCAGCCAGGAAGAACCTCTGAAACAACAGACGGGATGGTTACTATGGAAACAAGTCAGTTACTATATAAAAAGCAGAGAGGACAGGATAGGTACTATGACACCAGCAGAAAGCATGGGTCTGTTACTATGGAAACAGCCGAGAGGGCAGATTTGTTTCTATGGAAACAGCAGTAACAGGTCTCTGGATCAAGGATCTGTTCACTTCTGGTTTAATAAATTGGTTTTTCATGACAATAGAATTCACTTCTGAAAGCTTTCGCAAAGCATTCTGGGATTCAGAGTCTTTCAGATTAAAACAATTTATGTTCAAATAGCTGTAGCCTGTAGAAGGAATTCTAGCTCAGTACCATTATGGCGAAGAACAGCAGGTTTTCCACAAGGCTTTTATCAGCTCTACTTTTTCAAAATGGTAAACCCTGTAAAATGTGAATATAAAACATCTCTTAGTTGCCCACAGAAGACCAGTGGTGGAAAAAGTATTCAGATCTTTTAGTCATGTTAGAAATACTCTAGTCTAAAAATACTCCAACATTCAAAATGTCACATTAAAGTATCAGAGAAATGTGCCTGAAGTATCAAAAGTATAGTGTTTAATCATGAATGGATTACTGGACACCTTATTTATTTATTTTTATTTAGTTGATTTAATTCTGGATGTGATTGATCTGATCAATTAAAGAGTTATTAATCTGAATAACAACAAGTCTGAATGAATGTTCAAATACTACTAGTAGTATACCAGTAGTAGTAGTAGTACAGTAGGAGTAGTTTGGATAGAAAAAAGAAGCCCCAGTTTTGTTAGGATGTAACTGAATACATTTACTTAAATATTGTACTAAAGTACAAATTTGAGGTACTTGATCTGTATTTCAGTATTTCTCCACTTTCAGTTGCCTCCGACTTCTACTCCACATTTCACAGCTTTGCTGCACTACATTTAGCTTTAGTTACTTTTCAGACTGCTTTTACATGAAAACAAATGATACACATGTATAATGCAGTACCAAACTAATAATGTACCCAGTACCATATAAAATAAGTAAAATTACAGACTACCAGATTAAAATGCTCTTACATACTGTATATGTGTTAATGATGCAAACAGAATAATATTCTGTAGTAATATAATACTTTGTAGAATGAATACTTCATACACTTTACTGATAATACTTTTGTAAGATTTTGAAAGCAGCACTTATAATTTTGTAGTAGTCCTGACTTCTTCACTTAAGTAAAGGCTCTGAGTATTTCTCCCATCATTGGGATATACTATACTTTGGTTACGATGATGATCCTGTAAAATGTTAAAAGTAGAGATGAAACAAACTACTACACCTGTGTACCAGTGCTGCGTAGTCCTGCTGATGAGCTGAGAGCCTCTGAGAGTAAATCTGAGGTTTCTGAATATAAATATGATTCATGATGTGGGTCAGTTTAAAATGACTTTTTTCCTGTTAGTAAACATGTTTCAAACGTGTCAGCATCAGAGCACAGGGTGTGAGTCTGTGATAAGACGCCACTCCTGTATCTGTCACCTGATAAAACTTATCTTTACCACAGACAGACAGACCTTAAGCTTCCACAAGGAAAGTGACTGACAGAGGGAGGACAGAGGACAGAGGGCAGAGCGCAGAGGTCATAGATCGGTGGACAGAGGGCAGAGGTCAGAAATCAGAGGACAGAGAACAGAGGTCGAAGGACAGAGGGCAGAGCGCAGAGGTCGGAGGACAGAGGACAGAGGGCAGAGGTCGGAGGTCAGATGACAGCATCTGGATTAAAATAGAGTAAATACTGAACAAACCTCAGGCTCAGCAGCTGATCCACAGTTAGTTACTGTAGGAGCTACAATACTGTTCACACACTGATAATAATCTGATGATATAATATGCAACTGTACGACACTCACAGGATAGTTTGAGGATAGTTTGCTACACTGGGTACTTTTACTTTTAATGCTTTAGGTACATTATACTTGCATACTTGTACTTTTAAACAACATTTTTAATGTAACACCTTCCATGTAATTGAATATTTTTACAGTGTGGTGTTAGTACTTTGACTGATCTACCTGAGTACTTCATCCATGGCTGCAAATAACAAATGTGTGTAAAGAGGTGTGCAGACTGTAGGGGGTGCCCACAGCACTTTACACTGACTTTTTACTTTTGTTTTACACAAAAAATTGGTTTGAAATTCTAAAAGTTAAAATATGTTTTACTTTGTATTTATGTGTGTAATAGTTTGGTAGTTTTTGATGTCCAGTTTGTGTAAGTCACTTTTGGCTTTTTCCTGTTTTAGGGGTCGCCACAGCGAATCCTGTAAGTCATGCAGTTATAATGCAGCTGTGAGAACGGATCAATAGAACCAGTTTATCATTAATCATTTAAAATGATTGTGTCCTAGCACTAATAGTAACATAAACAAAGAGGAGACATAGGACTGTCGTCCAACACTCACACTGCTCCTCCTCATGCTGTTGTTTTTCATTGATTTTAAAGTCACTGTTATCAAAAGTTAATATTTCTCATTATGATTATTGTTAAATATTTGTTAGTAAAGCAGTTTTCCTACCTCAGATCAGTTTCCTGTCAGCAGCACAAACACTAAAACTCAGTCTGAATAAATGCTCGTGACAAAGTTCAGTTTCTATCGTCCAATCAGAGGCTCCACCTACCACCCAGACCACAGCCCCCCCACAATACTGCATAAAATACCAGAAACACTCTCAGTGTAACAGTCCAGGTGAACAGCAGCAGTGCCTCCACAGTGATCACACAGGTGAACCAGCACCTGTCTAAACTCAAACTGAACACCATCACCTTCATGAATGAGGGTTTACTGCAGCCCTGCTAGATTAGACTGACCAAGTTTAAGCCCGGTGTTCCTAATAAACTAACCACTGGGTGTTTGTGTTGAACATTAATGACAATGAAGACCTGTGGTTGTCAGCTGCCTCCCTCTGGTGGTCAAACACACACACTGCCGGTCTTACCAGGGTCTCCTGTCCAGGCTGTGACAGAGAACCTGCCATGGAGGAGTATACCTGAACATCCTGGTCTCTGCTGGTTCCTACTGGTTCTGATCTGGATGACAATGATGATGATGTCAGTCAGACCCAGCAGCAACCAATCACCATCAACCCTTAGGAGAGACAGGTGTAAAGTGCTGCACTGAAGTGCACTCCTGAGGTACTTGTATTTTCTGTATTTATTTCTTCTGCTTCATTGTCCCTGTACTACAACATGGAGGTAAATTAATCATGTGAGGTAACAGAATAACTGAATATTGTGTATTTGTCACCTGACTCTAAATAAAACACACAACGTTTACCTACATAAGCATGATGTAGCATCAACAGAAATATTAGCAACTTGTTTACTGTTGTTGACTGTATCAACAGAGCTGTCAGTCTCTGCGGGAGCATCAGACACAACCAATCAAATGTCTGAATGCTGGAGGAGGGCGGGGCTAAAACAAACTTCATTAATTCTCTTGATTTAATGATGATGATGTCACACAGGTGAGAACAAACAGGAACAGAATGTGGACTCACCTGCAGGTTTGTCTTCGCCAGCTGATGGAGGATTGGTCCGCACCGACTGCCTGTGTGGCTGGGTGTATGCGTGTGCATAAATAGTAAATGGACTGACAGCGCTTTTCTAAACAATGAAGTCCACTCAAAGTGCACAGACAGCCACTCACACTGTGTGTGTGTGTTTTGCTGAGCAACAGGCTTTGTCAGGAATGCTGCTGTGAACTATTGCTGTTGTGAAAATGTGAACTATTATATGAGAGTCAATATGGCACCATCAGAACATGGCTCCAAGTAAACCTGTCACCAGGTCTGCATGTAAAATACACCCAGGCTACTGGAGCTCTATCATCTTTCATGCTTTTCAGCCCGGGCACAGAAACATGCAGACCCAGGACAGTATGGGTACAGTACAGTTCCTGGTGGCAGTGGAAAGACTGCATAAAGATTCTCAAGAAGGGGAGTCAGGGGAACCTCCAATGGGCAAGATTTACTTGGATGACCTGACTGAGCATAAGGTGCCAAGTTCTCATCCCTGCTGCTATGCTGTCTAAGCATCTATAACCTGTTGCCCAAGCTTGGACTTGGTCTGAAGACGGGGGATGAAGATCCAGCTTTTTTAGGACATTAGCATTTCTCTTTAGGTGGCTAGTATCATTGCCATCCAACTTAGCTTTATTGGCTAAATATGTTGAACACACAAGGAATTAGTCTCCAGTATAGTGGCTCTCACTGTGCTTCCATAAAACAAGGGGGAAAAGTGCATTTAAATAGGGGAAAGGGCAAAATGGGCTTATAAACATATACTGCATAGAATCTGTGGTTTTCATCATCTACTTTACAAAATATCATTAAAAGATTCAGAGAAATCTCTGTAAGCAAGTGACAAGGCTGCAAACTAGCACTGAATGACCATGATCTTCAGGCCCTCATGGCCTCAGGAACACAGTTCATTACTGTATCCACGCATGCAAGTTACAACTCCACCATGCAAAGAAAACACCATATATAAAGAAGAGTTATTGTACTTGGGCCTGAAAACCTTAGAAATCTGCTGTCGAACAACACGGTTACAGTTACAGGTCACTTTTATTTTCTCTTTTATATTCTTCCACAAACAGAATCAGTGAGAGAAACTCTGCAACTGGATTCAAATAAATATAAGTGTGAAATTAATGAATGCACTGTCTTCTATTCTGGAGCTTACACATAGACACGGGAGCTTAAGATACAAATCGCGTACCAATGCTAACAGTAAAGCTAATGCTAGTCAGCTGGATTTAGGCATCATGCCTGGAAACTTGAGTACAAAATAAAGAGGCTTCAAGAAAATAGAAAAAAGTAAAGAAGGCTTTTTAAAATAGATGAGCATAAAGAAAGACATGTTAAATTATGACATGTTGTTAGAGGTGGGGTTTAGGGCGGTGCCTGGAGTTTAGTTGACATACTTGTCCTGGAAAGTCTCCATCCTTTCTATTTTACTGTGTTATATTGTAGAGCCCCTGCAGGATCACATGATGCTGCAGCACTTACACGGCTGCTTTTCCTTCTTTATCGCCACTGCTCCTCCCTCCGCTGTCTCTCCGTTGCTTGCTGCTATCACCTCTGGAGGTCTGGTGGTTGGCAGTGGGGTAGTCACGGTGGCTGAGGCAAGAGGAGGAGCTGCTGTCTGAAGACTACTGGCCTCCTCCATCCCTTCTCCTCCCGGGGATGTTTTCCCATCGCTGTCATCAATGTGCACCAGCTCGGCTTTCACTGTCCCCTGCAGCCCCAGCACCTTCTTGGTCTCGTCCTCATCCTCCACGCTCTGGTATCCCATGAACACCATGGTGACTGGGTTCTCTACACTCGCCTCAGCCACACTTGGTGCGCTGCCTGGTTTGGCCTCCAACCCGGTGATCTCCAATGTGACCTGTGGCGAAGGTGGCAGTGCCTCTTCATGGACCTCAGCTGGCGGGAGTGAGATCACCGTGGCAGCAGTCTGTGACATCATTGAAGCCTCATCAGCTTTGTGGATGAGCTCATCAACCTCAGAGGAACTGAGAAGGTGGACGCCATCTTCACCGTTCATCTCATGGACCACTGAAGAACAGAAACAGGATCAGAAAACCCATCTGTTACAGTTCACAGCTAAGCTCCAGCTGAAGGACCGACAGAAACAAACAATCCTCCTGATAGGTTTTGTTTAGTGAAACCAAATTACCCAGGGAACACCATGCTGTGGGATGGCTACACCAGATGGGCACTATTTAAAGTGTGAAAGTCACCCAGGCTTTACAAGATTTTATACATTTTCATAACTTAGATTATTCACAAATAATAAGTGATACGTGGAAAATTCATACAGTGAAACTACATTACTGAATGCATAATTGCCATCGATGCCTTCGCAGACCACTAGGGAGCCACAGACCACTGGTTGAAAACCCCTGAGTTAAAGCTATTGGTTTTTGAAGACCCATCAGACCTCCAGCAGGACACTGTCTGCCTCCTCCTTCAAGTCTGTACTGAAATTACCTGACAAGTCACCTGACTGTCAGGTGGCATTCAGGTGATTTGGTGTCTTTTTAATTTTTTTGGTTTTCATTCTTAGATTCCTAAAACATCACTGTTAAAACCATGAAAGACAGGAGAGAGCATGCATGCATGGTTTTACTTTAAGAGAAGTACACCACAAGTCATTTTGGAAAAGATAAAAATCACACTGCTACTAAAATAATCAGATGTAAAAAGAGCAGATATGGACACACTACTGTTTTTGTTTTTGTAGCCAGTACTTGACAACTCTATAACTATCTGGTGTGTACAATACACCAGCCAGCATGGACTATAAACTATTCTGCTGTCCCTTTTGGTGCTCCAGCCTTAACTCAGCAGGTAACTTCTCATAAAGCAAGTTCTGTTTCTTTTTGTTTTGATGTTTTTACTCATTGGTGTCACCTTTCCGCTCGTCTTCGTAAACCTTGACCCCTTGGTGAGAGAGGTCAACAGGAAGTATGGTGTTAGTGGACAGAACCCTGGTTTCCCCCGTCACTCTGTCCCGCTCTACTTTAATCTCCACCGAGTACATCGCTGGAGGGAGGGAGTTAGATGAGGTAAACAACAACACACACACGCTGCTGATTTAAAGCACAATGAGCAACAGGCTGATATGACAAATATGAGAATAAAACAAAGACATTAAAATAGTTATATGTGTGACACAGCAGCAAACTGAGGGTGAATGCAGTGAAGCTGGCAGACAGAGACAGACAGCTGTTAGACAGGTAGTTAGATGTTTCACATAAAGACAGTTTAACCTGAACTCTGACCTTTGACCTCTCTACCCCTGCTCTCCTGTGCTCTTGTTGATCTGTGGGTGTTTGGTTAAACATGAGAATCCAGAGCCCAGACTTCAGTTTTAATCCAGTCTAGAGTCCAGAACAGCCTGAAAACATTTTTGGCCAGCCTATCCTGTGTGACAGGTGTGGTGCTACACAGATGGTCATGAGACTGTGAAGATACTGCAACCTTTAACTACTAACATGAGTGTCTATGTCCTCTCCTGCCCTCCATCTCCATATCTCAGCTCTATTCATACCAATGAATCACACATAAAGCTTGTTTTCAGGTGTTCTTATTTAATGTTTGGTCGTTATGCACCAAGTTCTTTATTCTGAGACAATTTCCTCCACTAGGAGACAAAAGTAACCCTGAACCTGGGTAGCTATCAGCACGGTTAACAGGTGTTTTACTGTTTCAGTGCTGCATCGGCTGACATCAGCCTGTGTAGCCTTCACTAAAAAACTGTCAGCGAAATCAGGAAACTGGAAATATACCCTTTATATTACTTTTAATTATCTTGCTATTAGTTGCTACTGATTTTCACAGATTCCTACTAAAAATATCAAACTGATGTGGAGCAGCTAAACTGGCTTCAAACACCAAGAGTTTTTATGCACTGTGGAAGATGTAGGCTCAGCTCTGGCTTTGGTTGGTAAAAGAATGGTTTCTTCAGGTTTGGAGTTGTGAACGAGCTTGTGAAATGGCGCTGAGCTTCATCTTATTTTTCCCCTCTGACTCACCTCTCTTCATCTCCTCCGTTGCCTCTCTCGGTTTGTTTGTTCGAGGACTTTTGTAAACTTTGACCTCTGGAAAGGCTCGTGGGAAACAGGAGGTGGGCAGAGACAGAGTCAAGACCGAAGCTCTGAGTGTGAGGTCATCACAACACTTTAATCTGAAACTGTAATCTGATTACCCAAATTTGACTACTGTAATCAGATCACTGTAATCCGCTTACTAACATAGTAATGACTAATGTAATAACATGTCTGGAAATTGATTGATTCATTCATTCATTACATTGAATGAGTGAACTGATTTAAAGCTGCATTAACTAACTTCTCCTTCTAATTTTCATCCATTAATAACAAAGTGAGAGTCAAATCAAACTCCAGCAGTATCCCTTCCCCTTCTCCCTCCTGCCCCGTTTCTAAAACTACGTCATAGTATGTGGTCATGACAGCCGGAGACAGTGTGATCAGCCAGGTAGCGCAGCAGTAGCAGCCAGCTCCAGAACTAGTGATGGGTAGTTCAGATCATTTTACTGATTCGGTTCTTTGAAAATCATTCAGCAAAATGAACAAATCTTTTTTCGAGTCATTTCGTTCACTTTCACTACTTTTAGCTGCAGCACCCCAGTAATATTGAAACAGTATTAATGTTCTGACCACTATCACATCTTTTTCAGTGTTACATACTTGACATGCACATAACTGAGTTGTATGTGAAACAATAGAATTTTGATGTTACACTTTGATAGAACAAACTCAGCACTTTTCTAGTTGTGTTGATGGCGTAAATTTTAACAGCTTCTCACTAAAATACTACATGAACTGTTGTTTTATGTCTGACACAAACTGGACCAAAACCAAGCAAAAATCAGCAAACTGAGCAAAAATAGTTAATTTGCTAATCCAGGAAAACACGCTGGTTTCCGCTGACTGGACAACAAAGCACTAGCATTGCAGTCAGTTGGAATGACTCCAAATTACAACCAGAATAATTCAATACAAAGGTACAAAACTGAAATGCTAACATTAGCATGCTAATTGGTGCATAACATATGCACGTTAGCCAGCTACAGTACTTAGCGTCTAGCAGGAAGAAAGCCCCATCTGGTCAAATGTTAGTCCTTTGGAGGCTTTTAGTGCTCTCCATCAGGTTTTGCCTAGTTCTTTGTCACCCTGTTTTACAGAATGCTGCCTTTTGGGTCTAACAGGTCTGCTCCCATCCTGGGTTGGACCTGCACAGAGGGCCTCCATGGTCCCTCCTTGAACCAAGTCGTATGGGTTGGAAAGTGGGTAAGCAGGGGCGTGGAAGAAGTGCAGTGCGGACTTTAACAACACTGCCCAGAGTGGGGTAGAAATAAACACAAGACCTGAAGATAGCAGAGTGTGGTGAGTGGTGGAGGTTAATACAGCAGGGAGGAAACACTTCTGGACAGTTTTTTTTTACTTGATTTATGCAAATTTGTGCAAAATCTTAGTTAATGCAGCTTTAAGTTACGCCATTACTAGGGTTGGGTGTTGTTTGGGTTTTTCTGATACCGGTGCTCCTGAAATAATAGTTTTAAAATGGTGCCGGTGCCTAAACGGTACCAGAACTGACACTTTAAAAAAAAGAAGCATAAAACGAAGGTTGATGATGTTAAAAATATTCCCATTTGTTCCCAGCTCTGAGGTAAATGGACTGCTGTAATGATAGCATTAGTGTGTGACGTGCAGTAATGTCTCTGTTGCCTGAACTTGTGCCATAGTGGTACCCAACCGTAGTTATTACTGAGTTCTGGTTATATTGTAATGTTATTACCCCTAATTTCAACCTGATGCGGCTGCATTGCATTCCATCTTTGATATGGTCACTGGAGCTCATCGCTGCCAGTCTAGTCAATGGTTGTGCTCCCGCCGGGTCCGGCTGCTTTCCGTCTCCAATCCGTTCCAGATGTGGCTCTCCAGTCCACTTTGCTAAAGATACACATCTAGTCTATTTCTGACGATGCAGCAGCTGTGACACTTCTGACAAAGTCTGACCCACCAGTCAGATAGTGTTTTCCCCCTGTGTGAAACATAGATAGGCTATGAAATTATTAGAATGAATGTATTGTTAACAACTGAAACATAGCCGCAAATGTTTGGTTTGTGTTTTATAATGAGTTAACTGTAAACATTAAATTCAATTTAACTATTAACTGTAGTCTCTGTCTGTAGGCTATAGCACAACAAGTTATGAAATAAGAACAGAAAACACAATTATCAGAGAAAAAAACAATTTAACTATGAAACCCACTTACTGCAGAATTTCAAGCATGAAGAAGAATATCCTGTACAAAAAAATCAACATCACAATGAGCTTTTCTGCAGAGCTCCATAGGGGGACCAGGTGGGGGATGAAACCATATGGAGTCAGAACCGGGTCACAGACAGAATGCAACACAGCCACAACCGGTGAAAATTAGGGGTTACAGTAATCTAATGACTTGATCTCACTACCGTAAAGAGAATAAAATGTATAATCCAGCAGAGTCCAGGAGAGTCTCACCTTGGACTACCTGACCTGATGGTGAAGCTTTGTCCTGCTGATGGCTGCTGTGACCTTTGACCTCTACAGCTGATCAGAGAGATACAGTGGGAGGCAACTTATAGAAAACAACAACACAAAAAACAAACAGAAGAAGTGAATTACCTTTAACTGCTCCTGATGACACCTGGAGGCACAAAGAGAGGAAGTTCAGCTTCATAATAAAAGGCAATATGTATCAACAGGAAATAGATAAAGTGAAACCAATTATAAATTTGTTTGACGATCTGAAACATTACAGTGTGACAAACATGCAAAAAGATAAGAAATCAGTAAGGGGGCAAACACTTTTTCACACCACTGTATGTGCTCGGAGTGCTCAGTAGTGCAGCCACACTATGGCCACAAGGGGGCTCACATACAGTCAGCAGCCTTCCCATTACTCGCACTGGCAAAGAATTTTTTCAAATGTTCCTGAAAGTATAACACAGATTAGCACCAAAATCTACTCAACTATTCCATGGGCCGTTCCCTATCTCTCCAATACATTTAATCAAAATATGTTCATTACATTTCGAGTTATGCTGTTAATAACAAACAAATGTTGGTTAAAAGCATTACTTGTGCCATCGGTGGAGGTAAAAACAGGCCTTAAACTTCTACTCTTACCATTCTAAGTTTGTCTCTCATTGCCCTAGCTTCAGCTGCCAGCTCATACTGAGATCTGACACTTTGCTCTTAGCAAAAGAAACATAACTTTCAGGATAACACAGTGTTTTTCAGGACATTTTACAGTTTTATAAAACATGACTTTTCCAAGACTGGGAAACAGGTAAAAAAATTTCCAGGTTTTCCAGGACACATGGGAACCCTGATTTTTCACATTGGCACTTTCACTCAAAAACGTTGTGAAATGCTCACAACGTAGAACCCTGAATTTAACCAATCAGCGACGTTCAGCTCTGCAAGTCTCACCCCAATAGTTCAGAAAGTACTACCCCTTGACTAGCTACTTTTACTGAGGGTAGAACTACACCCCACAACTACATTTAGACCATGGTTCCTTCAGTGGAAACGCAGGTAGAAGAACAGTGGGTCTCATTCACTGAACAGATTTGTTTTGTAAAACCCACTTACAAAGGTTTCACCAAGATTCTGGCCAATGGTTTGTCCTTAACTAAGAACAGAATCTATGCACACTTGGGTGAAATAATCACCTTTATTTGGCCAAGCATGTTACACACAAGGAATTTGTTTCCGGTACAGAACTGAGGCATCCATCTGCGGTGCCAACTCACACTGGTGGCTCTAACCATCAGGGGCAACGGGGGGGTTCAGTGTCTTGCCCAAGAACACTTCGACATGTAGACTGCAGGCACTGAGATTTAAACCACCAACCCTCAGGTTGGGAGATGACTGCTCTACCCACTGAACCACAGTCGCCCCAAATAACCAAATAACTGGATAAATAACTGGTTATTTAGTTTTCTTCAGTTCTGCAGTTATATAATAAGATTTAAGTTACAATAACAGTTTTGTCATTATTGCTATTTCTTTCATAGTTTTTCCCATTATTTTACTAATCATTATGGTCTTTTAAAACAAACACCACTAAAATTACAGCAAGCAACTGTTTGTGTTTAAGGTTTTAAACATAACGTTTACATATGTGTACAAGTATGTGTATGTTAGAATTACGTAAAAACCAAACACGTTTAAGTGCAGATCTTTGTTTATAATTTCCGTTAATTTCTTTAGTAAAAGTAACCATAATATTTTTCTTAATGTGAATTGTTGTGTTACAGTGTTTTTAGCTACACACCACTTAACCAACAGACATACACATTCACACGTTGATTTGCTTCATGTTGTGACCACTGCCAGAGCCAGCTGCAAAGCTGGTGAGAGAGAGACGTCTCGGTTGACGTTTCTGTGTAGGAGGGGGCTAGCCCAACGAAGTGATTAAATTGTATAGGCGATTAGGTTCGGGGCTTCTTCTTCCGGGCTGCCTGCGAGCAGCTTTGGGGGTGGAAGATGCCTGGACGTGTAATGTTAATTCTTGCCTGTGACCCTTTGAATAAACCAGCACGGTTATATTTTTTATATATCCAAGTGGTCTGAGTCGTCCCTCGGAGTTCCTGGTTTGAAAGAACCGGACGTGGCTTTATAATAGAATAAAGCCTTTACCAGTGTGTCAGCGTTTGGCCGTCCAGCATCTGAGATCAGACTCAGGGCAGGTGAAGATACCTGGGTGCCCACATGGCAGTCTGCTCAGCTGAAGGCCGTGCACAGCTCCGAAGCTCTGGGCCAGCCCGTCCTCCTCCACTGGTCAGCATCTGTCTTCCATGTCTGTTTTGCTGCCTCAGATTTGAGGTCAAACCTTTTCTTACTTCATCAGTTATGCATCCTTGTGCTTATACAGCGTTCACTGAATGAGTCAGCGCATCCTGTGCGCCCTGTTTTAATTTATATCCACTACTGACGCTTTACATTTCTGGCTTTCTCGGCTTCTCTTTTGCGTTTCTGTGTGAGGCATGTGCACATGGCCCTGCAGTCTCATGCCCTTTTATGGGCATTGGCAGGGCGTTAACCTATAGTAATTAGGAACGACTGGCACGCACTTTCAACTTAGGAGCACATGGGATTCATCAATATAAGAACACAGGTGTGAACAGTTCGGTGGCTTAAGAATGGTTTAAGGAATTTGAGAAAACACTGAGGAAGATGTTGGTGAATGAGACCCCCTGTTCTGAAAAAGGTTCCTGCTCCCTGGGAAAAGTGTGTGTGCTCACAGTGGTGTGTGTTATGGTCTGACACACAGCTCCAGCTTCCAGCCTCACCAGCTCCCGTTCCAACCTGCAACACACAAACACATGTTTGTTCATCGGTTTAAATGAAACCAGATTTTCTAACGTAAACACAGACTCAGATGCGTCATGAGATTAGAGCAGGTAATTTTCTCAGGAATAAAAGGCCTCCCAGCCCACGGATCCACATCCGCATACACATACTGTATGTAGACAGACATTCAAGTGACAGAATATATCACACACAAGGTTAATATACACAAAACTTTGGTCATTCAACAAAATCACAAATATCTACATTCTCTAGATATGAATAAAATATGCCAAGTCATGATCATGACCAAACATTACCGTGCCATAAATAAACATCATTTCATGAATGTTCTATGGAAAAAAAAAAAAGATTATAGCTGACCTGTTGATGGCCTCCTCCAGGCTCCTGCTCTTGGCCTTGTCCTGCTCCAGCTGTCTCTTGATTTCGTCCTGATCTGGTCCAGCAGAAGGAGCTCCGTCCAGCAGCCAGTGCTCCCTCAGAGCCTTTGACTGAATGCACACAGAAACGCAAACTAAACTGATCACGTGTCCACGGTGTCTAAGAAATTAGTGACGTGTATTCTGTGATCGGCTGGATTTGGTGTAACCATCCCATTAGTTATAGGCCTAGACTGGGGGTCCTCCCATGATGCTCTGAGCTCCTCTCCTCCCTTCTCTTCTTCTCCTCTCACTCCTCTCCTCTCCACTGTCACGCTCCTGTCTGCATGTGTCATGTGTAAACAGTTGTGTTCAGGTTAAAAATACTCGCGGTTATTTTGAATCAGCGGCTGTGAGTGAAAGGCGTCAGCGTTTCTGTCATTCCTGCATTCAAAGCAACTGATCTGAGACCTGCTGCAGATATTCTTACTCTGCAGCTGTCCTTGGGCTGCAGCCTCATAAACCTGCACCACACCTCTGGATCTACACTGTAAAAATAACTACACACTGGACAATACACCAGCAGGAACAGGTGGCCCTCAGGGGCCCCGGCGGCTCTACGTTTACCAAGCGTGTTTGTTGGTTGGTTTTTGGTTTCATCACGTCGTCTGATACAGAATCATCTGCTGCTGGGCACATCTTTACTGTCATTAATGGCTTGAACAGATACACTTATCAACCGGCTTGTGCATCTGCCCGTCTCACCTTCAGGTGCTGCAGAGCTCTCCTGTCGTCCTCCAGCTGTCTCTTCTTGTTCTCGACCTCTGTCTGCCACTTCCTCTTCTCCTGAAGCAAAGGGAAACCGAATCAGAACATTTTGCCTTTGCTTGTTACAACACTGAAAGTGCACCTGGACTGTATCTTTGTCATGGTCTTAATCAATAAGCAGAAAACTACTGGGTCACGTCAAACTCCGCATTTCATTGCTTACACTTTAACAGTTGAACTGCTTTCAGCAACATTTCAGCTGCACTCGTCTGTTACTGGAGTCGATTAAATTAATTAGACAGAATTTATGAAGCTAAATAACAAAAAATGTTGTTCCTGCTTTTTCAATGTGAGAATTTTCTCTCTCACTGTTATTGCAAACTAAATAATTTTGCTTTGTACTGTTGAAAAAAAAAACACCCGAGTACTTCGGCTTGTGGTCTGGAAAACTATGAAAACTGGAAAACTTTTTTTAAGTAAACAGCTAATCAATCAGTCAAGAAAATCACTGGGAGATTAATCAGTAAGGAAAATGATCATTAGTTGCACCTCTACATGATCGACTGCAATAGACACTTCAAGCCCTCTCGGTGTTTCTGCTTTAACTGACTACAGCCTCTCTAATGCCAAAAGTCTAAATGAACATGACAAGTCGTCTGTGCAGCTTCCAGAATAAATGAGCCCACTTTAAGGAGCTTCAGAAAAATGGACTTTTTCTGGTTAAAAACATTTTTGTTTTGTCCAGTCAAACCTGGTTTTAGGATTCAGGTTAGAATCAGGTTTAGCTGAGGGCTACGAGGTCACTGTGTCTGTGAGGGCCCTCACAAAGATAGACAGACATGTGTGGGATCAATAAATGCATTAATGCAAGAGCTTGGACCTCAGACCGACTCTCAGACTGGACCTCAGACAACGGGATGTGTCTGGTTTAAAATAGCTGCTGCTGTGCCACAGATGTGTGCGTGTGTCACATCATGTGTGTGTTCATACATGTCATGCGTGTGCTGCGTTCACTGACAGTCTGTAAAGTGGACTTACTGCGATGAGCTGCAGTTGGTCCTGCTGACAAAGAGCCTTACTCACCCTGAAACACACACACAGAAACACACTTAGTTTCTCGTGCTTTGCTGAGGACCCCAGGCTTATTGTCCCGTCCCCACCTGATGTGCAAGTGGAGGCATCAGCCGGGTCACCTGCAGCAGAACTAATCCAGCTTTAAGACACTAAACTTGTTTTCTGTCTCTGTATAATGGTACAAAGTTTATAATTCCTTGTATTTAACAGGGACAGTGCATGTTAGCACTGCGCTGTAGTGGTGTTTCTTCATCTGTCTTTAATTGTGGTGTATTTTATTTCTTTTTAAACTATGTTTTTTTCTTTATTTTGTCTTAATCGATTGTTATTGTTTCTAATGTACATGTTTTTCTTTGCCTTTGTGTATGAAATGTGCTTTACAGATAAAGCTGCCTCGCCTATTAATAAATGTGCAAACAGAGATTTTTAAACTCAGTGAAGATGTTAAAGTGAAATCCCTGCTGGGGTCCGGCTGTAGCCACGCCCTCCTGGACCTGGACTCCGCTGGTCTCTGGCTGGGCCTCACTCTCGTCCTCCAGACTCAGACTGACATTGAGATGTTTGAGGCTCAGCGTCACAGATCTGCTGCTGATCTGCAGCCTGACTGTCACATGACACTTAGCTTGGTTTTATTAGAGTCCGGAAGCTGATGCTGATGACGGTGTGGACCTCTGCATTTTTCTGTCACAGCAGAAATCAGCTGAGACTGAGGTCAGGGGTCTAAAGTCTCAACTACTGATTAGATTTTAATCTATTTTCTGTAAATCCTATTTCCCAACATGAGTCCGAGTTTCTCCACACTGAGTCCATGTTCGGTTAATTTGTTAATAAATACCCGTCCACCCTCCCTCGCTGTTAAATAAAACATCTCCAATCTGGAAGCTTGAGTGCAGATTTTTTCTTGTTGTTCCTCAGAGCACAGACACAGACTTTAAATGTTCATATTTAATTTAGACAAATGATTAATTCATGTGTTTCTGGCCGTGAACTGCACGTGTACAGGGGCATGGCGACTGACACAACTGTGTTATCTGTTGTTTGTTTTATACTTTGCTTTTAATGCAGTAGATCAAACTGTACTTTTCCCTTTTCTCTTCTATCTACACATTTCTTTTTGTTTATTAGATTTTTCACTGCTTAAAATTATTTCAGGTTAGATCTATTTTGGCTCTGTCTTCTCAATCACTGTGTCCTCTCTAAAAGCAAAGGTACCATTATCTTTAAATAACCGACTGTTTTTAAGCTGTGAACATGAATAAAAAGTGTCTGACGGTGTCAGACATCAGCACAGTCTGGTTCTTTTGATTACTTTTATCTATGTACAATCCTATATATATAAAGTCTAAACAAAGCAGAGCTGGGCCTCTACTGCTGCGAAACAGTTAACAAACTCTGCTGAGCTCGGCACAGTTTCTGCACAAAGCTGCTGTCGTCTCCCCGGAGACAGGCACACAAAACCAGCAGCAACAGGGTCTGATACTGGGCCCACTGGAAACCAGTTCAGACTGGAAGTTTACTGTGGTGAAAACTATAAAAACATCAGAGTTGATTCAAAACTGCTCCTGAACCAGTTCAGTGTTTCTGTTATTTTGTCCACCCTGACACACAGCAGTTTCCACCAGTATCAGTGAAAAGTCAGACGAAGGCTCAGATCAGATTGTGATCGGGTAGTTGCTAATCAGAGATCAGGGGGATGAAGGTTCTTATTGATCAGCGTGAGAAGAAAGAGTTTCTGTCAGAATAAAGTGGTTCATTGTTTACAAACATGTTTGGATTTTAATTTGAAAAGCTGCAGTGAGGACAGAGGACAGGGAGGTGAGGAGAGATCATGAGAGAGTCAGGGTGAAGCTGATCAGGAATTAGTTTAGTTTAGTCACTCAGTCAACTGGACAAGTATTGATCAGGCTGCAGAATCAGTCTGAAACATTTGGTTTCATTTTGGAAATTGTATCGATTTAAAAGTGAACTGATTAGAAATTACTGACACTGATTTTTCTGCCCAGACCCTGTATCCAGACTCAGACTCTCTAGATCCAAGTTCAGGTTTCATTCAGTTTGGGGTCCTCAGCCAACCTGTCTGTGTCCTTGATCTGGCATGAATCCTCCCCTCTAGGTTCCGCCCGGCTGCCGCAGGTCAGTCAAACTCACGCAGACACACAAAACCAACAAACAAAGTCAGCCGCACCGCCTTCAAAATAAAACTATGGTATTTTGAAAGTGTTGTACAAACACAAGTGTTTTGCTCCAAAACATGATTTACTTGTTCAGTAGCTCTGATCGTCGCTTAATCTGAGCCGAGACACCACAAAGACACATCAGAGTCCACAAGGAAATCAGGGAGCACCGAGACCATATCTGAATAAAATGTCGAGTTCATTTAATATAAAACACCAAAACGGTGGGAACAATTTTGATGTTTTCTATATTTTAAAGCCAATACATTATGAATGTTATATTAAGTTAGCAGAACAGGTGGCATTACAAAGAGAGCCGCCTGACTCTAGCCATGCTCTTATTTTGAAGACGGCGGCCGGAAGTCGTGTTACTCTAACCTGCGCAGTTTGACAGCAACTATTGATCACAAATCAGTTCCTTTATAGCACAAACTGATCAATATGTAATTACATAGGCTCCTGCTGCTGTGTGCGGTCCTCTTCCGCCGAGAAAAGTAGGGCACGGCGTCTGTTTGTCTCCCTCGGTTATAACGCGATTTAACCCTTTCCTTTCCCGCCGCAGTGACTCTGAAAGTCCCCGGTCAGACTGAAACGCAGACACACCGAAATACCGAGCCGGTTCCGCCGTCCCAGTATTTTACAGCAGGTCTGCGGAGGATTTTGCCGCAGTTTGTGTGCAGTTTTCCTTGTGCTCAGGTCCCGGCTCAGCACTCTGACAGACTGATGCCGCACAATGACGACACAGGCTCGGCTACGTCATTAACACAGAAAAAATGTAAAGAATGAATCAAACATTAAAAGAAGACGAAGAAACAGAAAGTACACTTACTCCATGTCTGAGCGCAGATCAGTCCGCTACAGCCCGGATCATCCGATCTACATCCGATAGAGAAAAAAGACCCGCCCACCGAGGACAGGAGGAGAGGAGGAGAGGAGAGTAGAGGAGACAAGTGGGGACAAGCGTGGAGGTCGTGTTAGCGTTTGTCCTGATCTCTGCCTTTAGACATGGTTTTCTGGCCTTGTGATAAGGGCCTCACCACAGTCTGCTCTCAGAGGTCTACAAAGAGCTTGGGTTGTGTCCTGACCTGCAGAGTGAACTATGGGACCTGATATAAACAGGTGTGTGTCTTTCTGATCTTTGTCCGGTCAGCTCCGTTTGCCACAGGTGGACTCCAGGTTCTAGACATGGTGTCCAACAGGATGCACCTGAGCCCAGTCTGGAGCTACAGTAGAAGACTTTTGGAAGAAACTCCATTAGACACCTGAGAAGCATAAAGACAAAGATCAGAGTCCAGCAGAGGGCAGCGGCAGTCTGCACACAGACATGAACAAGACCGGTTTTATTTTAAAGGTCACATCAATTTTGTGATATATTATAAAATAACAATGAACTTCAAGTTCAAATGTTATTTTATTTCTGTCATGGACACAAGTGCTGAGCTCACTGAAGACTGACGAGACACCACAACCTCGAGCATGCTGTTGCATCTGTGAAACCCTGACTGCACACGAGGAAAACTTCTTCACGTATCAAAGTGCTTTGTCTTCTGTTCCGCACTGGACAAATACACAGAATGTGACAAGGACTGTGTCCATTCACAGGTTAAAATTCAACCATTTACTAGAACTACCAACCAGCCAGAACAAAAGGTGATGCCAGGTGTAAGGGAAGGGAGTGAGAGTCATCACATGGGCCAGCTTTTATCGCCCAGAAGGCCCAGGAGAAGTAAGCCAGCTGATGACCCTCTCATATGAGCCACCCATGTCAAGTTGAGCCCCAAGACAATGGGAGGGACGTCACAGTTCCTGAAACACAGCTCAGCTTTCTGAGGGCCCTCTACAGAAAAGTAAGTAAAGTGTATTTGTATAGCACCTTTCTATATGTAAAGTCACAAAGCACTTCACACAGAAGTAAACTGAAAAAACTTAGAAAAAAATCAACTGGACTTAGATTTCTAGGTCAAAGACGTTTCACCTCTCATCCAAGAGGCTTCATCAGTTCTGACTGACTGGTGTTGAGCCAGAGATATTTATCCCCCTCGGTGGTGTTTCAGTCCTTTGAAGGCCAACAATGTCCCTTAACGGCTGAGTCTTTATAGCCCAGTATTGGTGAGAGCTGTTACCTGTCTTCGAATCCTCCCCTGTCGACCGAAACGTCTTCAACCTAGAAATCTAAGTCCAGCTGATTTTTTTCCAAGTTTTTTCAGTTTACTATGACCTGGATGACTGAGAATCTGCACAGACATGTTCACACAGAAGTACAAGTACAACTACAAGCTGGAAACAAGTCCGGGAAAGAGCCATATCATCATAAAAACTACAAGAGAATAAGATCACTAGTCAAAAGCCATTTTGAAAAGACAGGTCTGATTTGAAGCCTGCTAGCAGAGAGTTCCATAGTTCAGGAGCCACAGATTCAAAGACACAGTTGTCTCCTGTTTAAGTCTGGATCAAGGAGCAGCAACATGCCGTTCTCCAATGACCTCAGAGACCTACTAGTGAGGTAAAGCTGTAGCAGATCTGATACAGGCAGGTGCCCGACCATGCAGGGCTCTGGATGTCAGTACCAGGATCTTAAAGTGTATTCTGAGTTTCATGGGGAGTGAGTGCAGAGAGATCAGAAGAAGAGTAACGTGTTCCCACTAGGACGACCCAGTCAAGCCTGGCTACAGTATTCTGGACCACCTGTAAATGATCCAGGGGTGGTTTACTGAGACTGAATGAGGAGATTGAGTCACCTAATCAGGGTGATACAAAAGCACAAATGATCATTTCCATCTCAATTTGAGATATGACAGGACTACGTTTAGCCGTGTTCCTCAGCTGAAAGAAGCAGGAACGAGTCAGACACTTTACGTGTTGCTCATGGGTCAATGCTTGGTCCCCGTGACCCCATGACTTCTGACTGCAGGTTTCACACATGAAGAGAAAGACCCAAGATGTTCCTGCAACTTAGGAACCACACCGGAGGGGCACAAATAAGGTCCTCTGATTTATTGTTGTTGAGCTGTAAAAAGTTATTTGCCATCCAGTTTTTTAAAAATATCCATTATAGTCATTTATGATAGATAACTTAGAGAAAAGGTACAACACAAAGTCACAACATCATGAACAACAGCATTCAGAATGACTCACCTGAGTCTCCTGGCAGTCTTCCTGTCCAGGTCGGCCGCTCCACCGGCTGTTTCAGCCAGATAACAGTGACACATTGTAATTTTGTGTCAGACAAGCTGTTCCCACTGAGGTTTGTACTAGCAGAGGTGTAAAGTAACTAAGTACATTTACTCAGCTACTGTACTTAATACAATTTTGAGATGTGTACTTGAGTACTTTCATTTTCTGCTACTTCACTACATTTTACAATTACTGTACTTTTTATTCACATTTGACAACTTTAGTTACTAGTTACTTTTCAGACTGAGATTAATTAAACAAAATAGAGTATAATCAGACTTTGATCCATGGTGGGAAATCAGCCGGCTACTCAGCAGGGTGTAAAGTACTCCAAAGTATAAGCATACAAGGTAGTAAACATCAGCTCCACCTTCACCAGCTGTAACATTAAATGTGATGTACACAATACTTCATCACTAATTACAGCCTGATATTACACACAGTGCGAACTGAGCCATTCTCCATAATGGGTACCTTTACTTTTGGTACTTTAAGTATACTTTATGCTAATACTTTTGTACTTTTTCTAAGTAACAATTTGAATACAGGACTTTTACTTGTAAGAGTATTTTTACATTGTGGCATTCTGTAAACAATGCGAGCATTTCTTCCGCCCCTGTGTACTAGACCTCGCCAAATATAAACAAGTGAGCTGTTGGACACGGTCTCGTCTTTGGGAACAAAGCTGTTGTATTTTCAGCTTGGCAGAAGCCTGAGTTTTCACTTCTGCTGCTTAAGCACAACCTCTGTAGTTGTGTCGTTACGCAGCACTGAACTAATCAGTCAGCCCAGCATGAGGCAGCAGACGTCCAGTCTCCTACTGACTGTTTATCAGCCTGCAGGGGACTATGGTCTCTGCTTTTAAACAGGGCTTCCCAGCGTTTCTGTCGGTGTGTTTGATAGTAGCAGCTCAGTCTGAGAGGTTTGTAATCCCAGAGCTCAAGTTGATCAGTTTCATTCAAATCTATTACATTTGTAATTTGCCTCTTGAAAAACTTTCCAAACTGTGTTGAAGCCCAGAAAAAAGGTTGTAAACACAAGATTTTCACAATAAAACAGACACTTTGTTAAAGGGCAGCTTTTATTTTGAGAAAAAAAAAATTTCCTTAAAATTAGTGTTTCAATGCACAAATGTTCTGTGTTGTGTGTGTGTGTGTGTGTGTCTAACAAACAGCAGGCAGCACTAGCAGTGTTTTTATAAGGGGGTGAAAACAACTTTTTCAAATATTTCATCACCAAACCCTGATCAGTTTCAGAACAAAAATATCAGAAGCCAGTAATAAAGCTGTAGTATTACAAAACAAAGTCATGACATGGGGAAAAACTTTCATTATAAAGCAGTGATTGCACCAGATGGTCATAATTTTACACAACACTGGGTATTTGCATTTTATGAGAGAGTCAAAATTAAATTGACAATTAAATCTTAATTTTACCAGAAGAAATTCAGCACATTACACTGTGTGGTTGTAAATTTACAAAAATTAAACATCTTAGGAAAAATTTCAAGAATAAAAGGTTCAAGTATCACAACGAAAACATAATTTTACAAGTCCAAATATTCTAAGGCATCAAGTCATAATAAAAAAAAAAAGATGACATTTTATTACAAATGGGCATAAGAATACTTGGATTAATTTGAAATTTCTACAGAAGTCAACTTTTTCTCACAAAACTTTAAAGTCAGATTTTTTTTTTTTTGCTCTTTGCCTTTATTCTAATATTACAAATTTTGTTTGTACATTTTTGCCTTTATTGTTAAAGTGTCCTTTTACTCTCCAGTTCAAAAGCTGCAGAGCAACCAAGACAAGCTGAGCAGGTTAACAGTGGACTGGTCCTTTAATAGTCACTCAGCATTTCATCAAATAAAGTGTGAATAAACACACAGCAGAGACCAGTTTTTGATTTATCAGGCTATTTCAGGTTAGGCCCTTAAAGCCTGGCTGACTTTCTTTTTATTAAATGAATAGTGAATTAAAGGCATGAAACATGATCAAGGTTAACTTCTACTCATGAGTTGGCGAGGAGCTCGTACCAAAGTTCGCAGTTGAAGACAAATAAAAAAAATAAATGAAAGAAATAAGTTAAACTGAAATGTTTATTTGTTCTGAGCCTAGAAGCTGAAATAAAAAAGTCAAGTTTTATTTTCATGGTTTGTTGTCATTAACATAAAAAAAAAAAAAAACACATTTTGAATGGATCTTGGTAACTGATGTATTTATTTCACTGTAGCAGCTTTAAAATCAGCTGAACAGCCCTACACATCCCAGAGAACACTGTTTCAAGAATCATCCAATCAGAGCTTCGCACACTCTGTTGCCATGTGAATAACCGCAGATGAAATACTCAGACATGGTCAGGCATTTAAATTTACTTTTACATTTTGACTTAATTGAGGACCAGTCCAGCAGCTGTGCAGCACAGTTTGGTACAAACAGCTGAGGCTCATGGGTAATGAAGTATTTAGACAGACTGTGGTGGTACCATCAGCTGCTGCATCTAACAACATCCCAGAATAATCTCACACAGTACAAATACAAACTATGTTCGCATCAAAGCGGAAGTATTTTGGTGATTTTCCTTCATGACAAAGGGGTGAAACTTTAGACCAGAAGCCAAGTCGTGCCACCGTGTTTGAACCTTCACATGATTAAACGGTACAGGTGGAGGCAACACATTTATAACAGATTCCTGTGTGAACATCAAAAGTCGCTTCTGTCTGCTGGATCAGAAAGTTCAGAAAATCAGCTGAGCTGTGGTAAAGGAAATCACAGTCAGCCAAGGAAAAAGCGTATTCTGATTTGTCTGCTTCAGAACCACAAGAAAACAGGTTTTTAAATTATGAGCTAAGGATTCCGTCATAAAAATCCTATGAGACACAAACAAAGGTGCCCGAACTAGCTACAATGGAATAACGGGGAGAAAAGACTGCATATTTTCCAGATACGGATCGTGTGATTTAAAATAAAATTTTATAAAACAAAAATCATGATCCCAAGGTGTAAATTCTATAATTGCAAGTTCTGGTTACTGTCAGGTATAGTTTGTGTAATTACAATATGATTAATTACAGCTAAATATTGTTTAGTTATGAGATAGCAACTGTAGCATAATTACATAGAGGTTGTTTAATTACAAGTCATAAATCTGAAGCAATTACTGCATAATTTTAAGCCAAGACAAAGTAAGCCTGGTCTCATAAGTACAAGACACAGACTTGGTATTTTTGAGATTCAGAACTCATAACTGTGAAGTGATGATTATGTGATACACAATTTTTCTAGAAATTCTTTCTAGACCTTTATCTTATAATTACAGCCTTCAGCTCTCAGAGAACACAGAGTTAGGGGTGATCCACTATTTCTCTTCTGTCTGACTCGAATCAGCATGGAAACTACAACTAAGAATGAAAACTGCAGCCGAACACCAAGTTCTGTTTGCACAGCAGCTATCACAACACACCTTAGTGTGACAAATATCATTCTGATTCATGTTGCATATCAAATCTGTCGAATGTTCTGTTCCCACTAATTTTCCTTTTCATCGGCTCGCTCTGGTTCTATAGTTCTGGTAATTATCCAGCCTTCAGTTAACGAGGTCCTGATCCAGCAGAGAGGAAATGATAGCCAGTGACGGGTGACAAGCACACATGATGTCACACAGGTGCAGGAAAAGTAAAGGAAGTCATGCAGAATGATGATGCAGCTGACAGGTGCATCCCATCACTGGTCTGGTCAGGCTCTAACCATGGGAACAATAAAAGTCTATTCTCTGTTTCATCATCTACCTGTGCAGAGGTGAAGTGGGCGGGGCTCAGAACTCAACCTTGCAGGCAGGGAAGGTCTCCTCCTGCATGGCCACGGTGCTGCTGCTGCCCAGCACGGTGATTGACAGCTCTCTCTGCCGGTCATGGGTCTCCTGGTACCACTCGTGCATTGCCAGTGAATCAAATGTTGGGATCAGAGTCACCTTGGGAGAGATCAGGGAGACAGACGAATCAGCGAACAGATAATAAGGAGGTAAAGCCAACAAACACGACACTGTGTTTTCACTGACCTGAACCTCGGGCCAGCTGCTCTTCCCCTCCAGCAGGGAGTCCAGAATACTCCTCATCGACACATTCTTTACAGGATCATCTCCGCTGATGATGTAATACGAGGACCGAAGACGCCTGAAAAACTCCAGGTCCATGGTGGAAGCAGCACAGCCAGAAGGCAGGTAGGCCAGGTCCACGTAGAATGCAGAATTCTCAGAACCTGCAGAACTGGCAGCTTTGAGACCTGGACATAAAAATAAGATTACAACGCTTTCCCCCTGACCCCTGACTTGTGGCCACTAGGTGGATCTTTGAGTCATATGAACGGGAAGGGGGGGGGGGCTGAGGGTGCTGCAGCACTCCCTAGTGGTGGCTGCAGGTGGTAGCACCTTATACTCAGCAATTAAAGATAAAATACATAAATACAAACCAAAAATTAAAAAAAAAAAGTGTTTAAGTTGTGGACATGGTAATTTGAAACTGAGGAATATGCTTGTGTGAAAATGGTTTTAAATTGTTTATTGAGGAAATGATTGGTTGAGAAAACTCCTTCTCAGGGAGCTTTCCCCAGTAGCAATGGTAAACAACAACAAGCAATGAAGATGCAACCCCCCAAACATACAGTCATGGCCAAAAATATTGGCGCCCCTGCATTTCTGTCAGATGTTACATTTTAAAAAATGTAACAACTAAATTAAACCCCTAGTTCACTGAAATAAACCCTACAACATTAAGAATCAAACTGTTCATTTTGTGTAAAAATCAGAGACACATAGCGCTTTCTTGAACTAACTTTGACTGTGTTCCTTATTTACTCCCAGCCAGGGATGTCACTGCTGCACAGTGGCTGCCCCCCACTGAAGTGAATGATGCCAAGTAACTTACACCACAACAACACAGTCGCAGAAATGAATGCAAATATCATGTTGCATCATGAAAAGGTGCTACAAGGCACAAAGTCTCTAGAACTGCCTTCTTTCACCTGCACAATAATCACAAAAATCAGGAGCATCCTGTCTCAAAGTGATGCTGAAAATCTGGTTCATGCATCCGTTACTTCCAGGATGGACTACTGCAACTCTTTACTATCAGGATGTCCCAATAAGTCCTGAAAAAGCCTCCAGTTAATCCAAAATGCTGCAGCCAGAGTACTGACAGGAACTAGCAAGAGAGATCATATCTCTCCCATATTAGCTTCTCTCCACTGGCTCCCTGTAAAATTCAGAATAGAATTTAAAATCCTTCTCCTAACATACAAAGCCCTTAATGACAAGGCTCCATCGTATCTTAAAGACCTCGTAGAGCCTTATCATCCTAACAGAGCACTTGGCTCTCAGAGTGCAGGAAATACAGAAGTAGAATGGGAGGCAGAGCCTTTAGCTATCAAACCTCTCTCCTATAGAACCAATTCCCAGTCTCAGTTCAGGAGGCTGTTGTGATTTGGTGCTATACAATTAAAACTAAATTGAACTGAATTCTACTGCTGCGGTACTCAACAACAGATTTATGGTCTAGATGTACTGCTGAATGGTTGTCCTCCCCCACAATTAGGTTTTGTTATCCTGTAATGTTTATTTTTTACATAATGAAATAAGGTTGGCTGTAGTGTTCAGTAACTTGCAAAATAGTCTAAAAACAAACATGACAAAAAACTGTGAAGATTGTGATCCTGCCAGAAAAATCATGAAATGATATTTTTACCATACTGCCCACCCCTACTGCCAACTCAGTGAAGATCACTAGAAGCATCCCACTAAAACCCCCGTATGTGGCTCAACTATCCATACGGTCTGAAATGTTTTCAAGTTACAAGGTGTCAGGACTTCCTGATTTACTGGAATGGTGTATAATATAACACGGGAGGTGGCCGAAAGCTTTTGGTAAGAGTTTAGTTTGGGGTATACTGCTTTCTTGACCTGCAGACCAGTCAGGTTGGTTGTACCTGCCCATTGCAGTGAAGTGATTCGGCAGAAATCAAGTAGATCACGCTTGATACAAGAATTAGTAGATTTAACATTTACAACAAAACATTTTTTCATTCTGCTATACTGTCTTGCCCATTTGTCTCTGGTAGACTAGACTTGTGCCTCTTCACCATGTGCACCTTACACTAAGTGTTTACAGGACTATGCCTACCTGAAGATGATAGTCTTGCTGTTCCAGGTCGGGATCCACCAAGTAAATTTCGGGATGATGGCTTTGCATCAAGACTTGGGGTTGTCTTTAGTGACCCCATGGAGCTGCCAGCTTTAAGCTTTCCATTCTGGGCTGTGGTACATCCAGAGGTTATCTTCTGTATTGTAGCTGTTGGTTTCTTGGTCTTGGCAACTGAACTCTTTAGGTTCTTGACTGATCCATCAGCCTCTACATCGGCCATGCATGCTCCAGGTTGGGGTGGTAGTGGGGGCAGGTCCTTTACCAGAGCTGGTGGCGGGTCATGGGAGGAAAGCTGCCTTGACCTGTGGGCACAGTGCAAACTGGAATGATCTTGGGGATGAGTGGGGAGAAAGAGATTACTGGAATCATCATCATCAGAGTCAATGTCTGCAGTGATGGAAGGACAGTCTTCTGTGCCAGGGGGGACATCAGAGTCTGTGGCCAATGGAAGGGAGTCACTAACTGATGTGGGTGGAGTTTCTTGACTGTGGGTTGAAGGGCAGTCGCTGCTGCTCTGATCCTGGGAGTGGTTGTTGTTGTCGGACATGTCTGGTGAGGTGCCAGTAGCGAATCCAGGACTGACATGCTGCTTTTGTTTCTCTGAAGTCTTTTGGTGCTGGAACTCACATGGTGATACCAGACACAGATCAACATCATGTGGAGTATCTGAGATGAGTTCTGAAATCCTGTGAATGTGCTGCTCTGATCCATTTCCACAACGCTCATTATGGAAAGAAATCATAGGTAAGGTCATCTCTGTGTTGGAGTCTGAGTCACTAATATGTCCGTTGGAGTAGATTCTGTCTCCCATGGGGCATTTGGGTGGCACTGCAGCAGGTGGCAGAACTTGCTCTAAAGAAACAGACAAAGATTCATCAACTTCTGTAGAATGAGGGGAACCTACCTCAGCTGGCATGGAAGTCACAGTGGGAGAGGAGTCTGGCAAGATGTCTCTGAAAGGACTGAGGGTCAGAAGGCTAGACTGTTTATCCTGAGAGGATGTGGAGTTTTCCAGTCCTTCCTTTAGGGAGCTTAGGTCTGAGGTTCTACAAGAACCTTCCCCCCTGTAATCTTCGAAGCCCAGGCTGGATCCTCTCATCCCAAGGCTGCTGTCCTCACCCAAACCTTGAATGTCCTCAGGGGGCTGCTGGAAAGGAGTATGTCCTGCACTGTTAGGGGCTGAATCTGCAGGAGAAACCAGCTCCAGCGACTTCTCCTCTGAGCTCACACAGAGGTCATCTGGTCGATTTGTCAAGGATCCAACAACTGGTTGGAATGCAGTCAAAGTAAGATCAAAGTTAACACCAACATCACTTTTTGGTGTTTTGGCAAAAGGCGAGGAAGAGGCAGCCATGTCCTGATCAGTCCCCATACAGCGAAACATTTCTGGACTCTCAACTGTTGAAGTCTGGTTCATAACTGCCTTTTGACCACTGTTTCCTTTGTCATCTTCCAGTTTAAATTTTTCAAATTCAGCTGTCAAGTCCTCGGGTGTGGACACCTTGGAGCAATCTGCCTCTTTCTGGTTTTCCTGTTCCTTTGGACTTGGCTTACCCTTCATCCCCCTGCTCAAAGTGTCCTTCTTTGGAAGAGTCCCATCTTTCTTTAGAGTCCCAGTCTTGCCCAAAGCTTTTTTGGGTTCAGTACTTGCTGTTGATGCTGTATTTGAAGCTCCACTTATTGTTTTCTTCATTTCTTTAAGAGGTGGCTTAGCTGTTTTCTTCTCCTCTGTTTTCACATCCCTCTTGCTCTCTTTTTTTGGTTCAAGTTTAATATCTTTCTTTGGGTTTGTGCTTGGACTTTCCTTCTCCTCTGTTTTCACATCCCTCTTGCTCTCTTTTTTTGGTTCAAGTTTAATATCTTTCTTTGGGTTTATGCTTGGACTTTCCTTCTTTACAGCTTCTTTCTTTTTCTCCCCACTCTCTTCCTTCTTTACAAGAACAGCAGGGGGCTTCTCATCCTTCTTTTTCACTTCCCTTTTCTCTTCTTTTGACACATCTTTCTTTGGAACAGGTTTTTCAGACATTTTCAGTGGTTTTAATTTACCATCGGCATCCTTCAGTTTGAGCTTTTCTTCCCCATCTTTGTCTTTTGCTGCAGTGTCACCTGATGCCTTTGACTTTATTTTCATCTCCTGTTTTTTGACATCTACTCGTCCAAATTTGTCTTTCTGCAAGGCACTACTGGGTCTGAAGTCCTTACTCTGGGACTTAAGGCTTTCCCGACTCTCTGCACGTTTTGGTTGTTTCTCAGTTTTAGATGTTTCTAGATCCTTCAAACACACTGACTGATGTTTGAGGAACTCTAGATGTTTGAGTTTTTCAAGTCCGTCCATAATTTTGGTCTGTGGCGTGCACCCTGGGAAGAGGACACGAATTATCTTTTCCTGGGGACTGCATGGATGCCAAACCAGCAAAGCACAAATGGAAACAAGGCATGGTAGTGGAAGATCTGAGCCCTTTAAATTTGATCCAGTATCTGGCCAAATTTGCATTAAAGCTTCAAGTTCTTTGCTGCCGCTGACTGGATTCAATGTGTACAGCTCCAGACGACCGACTCCCATCTTCTGAAACAAGATAACAGGCTCTATAATGGGTCCATTAAACCGGCAGAGAGGTTCGGGCTTGATTGCCAGTCTTTGCAAGTGCTGCAGAGCGAGTGCCACCTGGTCACAACTTCGCAACTCACTGGGATCTCCCTGGATGGACTTCAATCTGTCAGGAACATTGAGGAAAACCACCCCAATCTCCGGAGAGATGAGGTTTTTCATCCAGTCCTCTTCGGTCTGAGATCCAGCAGACTCATCCTCCTGCTCGGCTACTTTTCTCAGAAGCAGACTGTTTAGCCCAGGGAGATTATCCACACCAATGTGAGTCATGAGTACTGAGTCAATTCTGTCCAGGTGTCGAACCAGTTTCCAGAAGCAAGAGCGGGGGTCAGAGCCACCATTCACCAGGATGTTAAAACCATTAACAGCAAAGAAGGCAGAGTCCCCCCTTCCACCAGGGAAGATGTAGCAGCAGGGACGGGAGAGTTTCAAGAACCCCGCAGTGCTTGGTGGCACCAGGAGATCAAAGGGCGACTCAGGCTCCAGTGACTCAGAGAGGTACTCTGTGAACTCTTGCAGACCCTCCATTTCTGGTAGGACAGGGGAAGGGTTTATCTGGATGTTTATGAAGTCTTGCAGGTTGTGTTTTTCCAGAACATAGTCCTTCCAAAGACCATAGTTTGGACAGCTCAGGGTAAGGCTGGCCTTGTCTGCCGGGCCTGCAGAGCTCAACAACTCTCCAACCTATCAAAAACAAGAGCAATTACAATCAATAAAAGTAATACATCTTTTCTTTTGAATATTACCATTAATTCATGTACTAAGCCTGGTAAAAGAGGGACAAAAATATCAGATCCAACATGCGTAGTATTTAATCTGTTACTGCCAGTAGGTTCTTACCTCCTCATCAGCAAATATGTGGATGAAGTCATGGAGAGAGAATCTGCCTTTCTGTAAGACAATGTCTCCGGTCTCTTCGACACACTGGCCAGCCAGAACCAGCAGTTTGTGTCGAGATGAATCACGGATCAGCCGGCGAACCTGAACACACAGTAGGAAATCGATTTAGATGATTTTCAATTCAATTCAGTTTTATTTGTATAGTGCCAAATCACAATAAAAACCATCTCAGGGCACCTTACAAAGCAAGGTCTAGATCTTACTTTATTATTATTATTATTAGAGAAAACCCAACAAATCCCCCTTTAGCAGCACAGTGGGGAGGAAAAACTCCTCCGACAGACCCCAGCTCTTGGTGGGCAGCCTTCTGCCTCGACTGGCTGGGGTGAGCTCTTTCACTAAAGGGTGAGTTAATGTCAAATCAGTTCTACAGATCACTCTATTTCAGTGCAGCAAAAAACAAACAGTTGACCCAGGAGGACTTAAATAAATCACAAGACTAAATCACATTAAAGATTCAGACACATGAACAAGAAGCAGCATCTGATCTATTCCACAGAATGAATGTGACATCTCTTTTCAGTGTTTACTGATGAACAAGTTAAAGTTTTCTGATACATGATCCGTTCTCACCTCTGAGCAGACAAAGTCATGAGCTGGATTCACCACAACCTGAGTGTCCAGAATGTCACCGCTGTGCTGCAGAGTCCTCTGCCCTGCAGCAACAAATACACCAACCAGTCAGAAAACAAACAAAGAAACAAAGAGGAGAAGAGTAAGTCAGACTGAGCAAGGAGTCATGGCAGCAGCTAGCCAGCCACCACTCATTTTATCCTGAACTAATTAAGTGACTTTCAGTAATTTCAGCTCTGCCCTGATCAGGTGATTAACTGATCTGACTTTCTGATCAGTCTTTATAATGGTGAGATACTACAACACACCTGAAACCTGGATACTGCTTAGATCAAGCAAACAGAGATCAATAACCAGATCCACATCCTGAATATGATCAAATCCAGAATAAGACAGAACTGAATATTAGAAACTAAAGCAAATCTGAGAATTCACTAGTCTCACAGGAAACTGGATTTTACAGTTTCCATCTGTTTGGACAGAATGCGATATCTGAAAGAATCACCTCAGACTTTATTTTACAGACCAACCTCTTGGTGCAGAAACTCATCAGCACATGTATCAGTAATGACAACAGTAATTAGCTGCAGCCCTGTGTGTGCAGTATTTCTACCAACATGTCAGAAAATGTGAATGGAGGAGGCATCATGCATCAATGTATTTCCTCAGGTGTTCACCACTTTAAAGGTAAAACTTTAAGACCTTTAATACTGCAGACAGCATCATTTAAGAGAAAACAACGACATCCAGTGAATTTATTGACATTTTTGTCAGTCATGACCAGGGTAAGGTGTTAGCCAATAAGTACACAGACATATTTCACTAGTTCCAACCAGAAATCCAGCAAAACACCCCCATACACCACAAGACACTGGATTGACGCTTTTTTAAATTAAAAGCACACACAACCATTTACACAATGGCTGAAGCCCATTAGTCCCACCAGTACCATCCATTATGGTGCCCATGCCCAGCTGGCCTGGTCCCGTCCCCATGACAGAACATGAACACACAGTAACTCTGGAACGCAACAGGGCCTAGGGGAGCTCCGCTGGCACCCCCTACCCCCCTGCATGCTACAATATCAATCATTTAAGATAATGCACAATATTTTGGAACAAGGACTTGATCCAGGATTTGGATCAAGAAGCTCCTGAAAAATACATTGTGCCAGATTAATTTCAGTTCCAATATGTCAGATATTTAATGAATACAAGTATCGGCTCGGCAGATACATAATATGAAAGTAGTCAGGGCCAAACAAACTGACTGGGACGTCCCCAGTATAGTGTGTGTGTGTGTGTACACACACAAATATATATATATATGTATATATTCTATACAAGTCTTAGTAACATAATCAATTATATTCACCTGAACAGGGGCAGAGGCCCAGGATCTGGGAGAGCATCATATGAATGAGGGTCCTCATAAGGAGAGAAAAACAGACCAGAGTGTGTGCGAGTCTGCAGGCTACTCAGCAGAGTCTCAGCTGACTTTGTTTATGTTACCATCACACAACCACTGATTTGTCAACAGGTTTAGAATGATTGCTCAGTCACACACATACATGATGTCATCACCCCAGCTGCGAACGTCCAATCTCAGACTTTCACAGCTCAGATAGGTTTCAATCACCTAAATCCTAATGGTTTGAACTTCTTTAAATGTGCCGAGTTTTAACTAAATATTTCCAACTTGTCACAGTAACTCAGAGTTGGACATGTCAACAGCCCCCCCTTGTCAAACACCACAAACATCTGTCAGTATAACACTGGGCCAGCTGAACAGCAGCACAAACCGCAGGCTCCAGTGATCACACAGGTGAATGTGTATAAATGAATTCACTTTTTAAAACCATTTTAACTCAAGCATGATGAACCTTAACCTTTTAAAGTGAATGTAATGGAAACAAACGTCCTCCCACCTCGCATGTCCTCTGACAGGAAGGCCGAGTGTCTCGACACAAACAGTTTCAGCTGCTGATCCAGAACAGAAACATCCAGATCTATGGGCCAGCACCGCACACCTGAAACACACAAATCACTCACGCATTACCTCATCAGATAGTTTGTTTCCAATGTCAGATAAAAAGCTCATTTTGTAACACGGCTCTTTGGCTGATCTCCAGAGATCCATGTGGTCCCTAAAGAGGAGTTTCATCAGTGAGCCAGGACAACAGTGAACACTGCTGCTTTGACATCACAGCTTTAGAATAAAGCAAACTGTTAGACTATGTTTCTGATTCACCATGAAGTAAAAAACACCCAGTGTGTGTACATGCTGTAGGAGTGATCTCTGACCTCAGCCAGGTGTAACCCAGTTTCATGACTTCTCTGCATATTTTATTTCCAGATGTGGACAGACTGTTGGACTGACCAACACACAGCTGTGATCACACATTTCTCTGTCTACACTCAGACATTCGCACAGTAACCTGGACGATCAACCTGCTATTGATGTGTGGCCAAGATGAAGCTATGTCTCTGTTTATTTACCGTGTCTCAGCTATAAAACTGACAGATTGGGGAGCAGCTGGATGATAAAAACACTTTACATTACACGGCCAGATAACTCTGGTAACACCCTGAAGGAAAACCTGAGTCTTCTGTTGTTGGTCATGTCACAGCATAGAACAGAGCTGCAACAATCAGTTCATCCTCAGATAATCATGTATAAACAATTTTTCATGAAAATATTCCCCCCCCAAAAAGTGGAGGGAAGTGGCGACGCTATAGCCATTGCATATATGTCAGTCACATTTTAAAGGTGATTTTATGAATTTTCATTTAATTTACTGCAGCTCTAAAATGCTGGTGATTATTTATCAGACTACGTTCTGTGTCTGCAGGAGCTTAGGTCTAGTTCTGGGGACTTGACCCCACTGTGACGGAAACCTTGCATCAGGTCGTCAGCCCACAGCTGCGTGGTCACACCGTGACACTGCTGCAATATGTGTGCGCGTCTGAAGGCACGGAATGCAGCATACAAATCAGGAGACAAAGACACGCTTAGATCAGCTAGAGCTAATTTGAACCACGGGTGAGAACTGCAAATCATGCCAATGGGAGGAAAATCCAGTCACTTTACTGACTCAAAAGGCCCCAGGCGCTCATGGTAAGGCATGCAGACCGTTACGGATTACAGGTCCTGCCCACCACCCTGTGATGCCTTTTATATTTCTCGCCCATTGAGCCCGGAGAAATGCAATTTCATTCTGCTGTACACTATTAGCTGTATGGTCTGAAGGTCAATAAAGTACACTTTGTACCTTGTGCTCCTGTAGTTGTAATGAAAGAGGACACCGAGTTGTGCTCACACTGATGCTGCAGCTCCAGCCTTTACATAGGACTAAACTAACAAGCCATTTTATTTCAACCACCTGTCTGTGCAGTCTGGAGGTGATGTTACACCCCCTGTATGGCGTCTTTCACCACTCATGAAGATATCTTTATTATGGAGAAACTGCAACACTGAGAACTTGAGTCCAGTTTTATGAAGTACACGTTTAAAATATGGTGAACCCAAGCAAAAACAGATCATGACTGAAAATGAAACAGGTTTCTGCCCATTTTAACTGATCCACAACAGAACCAGTAGAGTCTGTTTTATTGTTAAACTAGGCTTGCTCTGACAGGTCAGGGTCTGTTTTCACACAGAGTGAGACATCTCTGTCAGATGATCTTTTCCCTCCTCAGCAAACAGGAAGAGGAAGATGTTCTGTAACTCCACTTCCTCTTTGTCCATCAACACCAATAAAAACAGGCTGGATGGTTACAACACACTCAACAAAAACTAAAAAGCAAGCTAGAAAACAGACTAAAACCAACTTTTTCAAGTTCCATTACTAGAGGGTGGTACTGGACCAGATACTGGTATTGGTGCATCTCTAGAGCCCCTTCCAGACATGCACTGGAACACTGACGCTTAAAGCAGGGGTCAGAGCAGCAATCTGGATGGTCTAACTACTACACAGCTACATGAATAAAGAAAATGTGGAAAAATAAATTAAAATAATAAAAATATAACATTTTACAGCATGTTTCGGCTGCCAGTCCAATGGGGTCTAAGGACATGAGCACTTCTAAAACTCTGGTTCTGGCTCTGATGAGGGCCTGGCAAACCTGCATCTTATTAAAAAAATAAAAAATAAAACCCTGGTCCAATCTCCAGCCTCCATGATGATGAATTTCAGGCAAACTAATCCATTAGCTTCATCGTCAATTATTCTAACAACCGATTAATGGTTCAGCTCATTTATTAAAACACAAACCCATAAATTATTCTGATTTCAGGCTGCTGTGATTGTTTCTCACTATAATCTTAAGTTTGACTGACTAAACCGTCCATTTACAACAAAAACTACTTCTGGTAGCCATCCTTGATTATTCCAATGAACCTCACCAGTGTTTCCATCCCAGCAATAGTGTGGTTTAAACCATGTATGACCCAACTCTAAGGGATCTACTGGAAGGCCCTGATTAAGACACAAGAACCGGTTGTCTATAAGTCCATAATTAAACAACTTGCTCTGATTTTTGTCAAATGAAAAAAACAAATATCCATACAACTTTATTTTCCTGGTGACTAACCCAATATAAAACTCAGGCTGCTGCTTGTTAAAGTTACACGATGATTTTCGACAGTCTACTTTTGCAAGAACAAACAAAAACCAGTCAATACAACAGAAAGAACATCCGTTGGGTGGGGATTTTCAAAATAAGTGTTTCCTCAGACGGGAACACTTAATATTTTTGATAGTGCTTTAATGGATTACATTTTAGACACACCTATAAAATACAACATTTATTCCAATAGAAAACACATCACCGCAACAAAAACAATCATCCAAATGTGGCCGTGACTTTCTTTTAACGAATTAACTCTTTAATATCCAAAGGAAACCAGAAGAAGTCATAAAATAGACAACATTTACACAAATTGAACAAAACAGCCAACACACACCTGCAATAGGAGCCTGTAAACGAGGTTTAAACTCCGTTTTATGCCATATTTAATCGATTTAAAGATAAAACTCTTAAGACCAGAGTTGCACAGGATGTCCTGTGTCTGATATCATTTCTAAATTTAAACAGCTAAAAACGCAGTAACAGCTGCCTCGTTAGCAGCATCCCTTTAAAATACGTGTCTCCCTGATGAGCGAATTCCCATTTTACCACTATGTTGCTGAAGAAGAAAATGTTTAAATAAATGAACCAAACCACATGAATATACCTGTAAATATTGAGTAGTCCCTGCTGGTTTGATTAGACTTTTAACTGCGAATGAGGAAATTACTCAGACTAGTTAAAGCTTGCTAACGGTGTTATATGGTTAGCATGCTACGATGGTCTGAAATTTTGTTTTACTGTTTTAAATAATATCGTGTGTCCAAAACTACCTACAGATGTTTGCTTTATTATGTTGTGTTAAACCCCGAGGCGCAATTTAGCAGATAAAACGGACAGGGTTACATATATTCTAACAACAAGTTTTGGACACAACACCAGTAACGACATTAGCGGTTTTATTGTGAAAGGCCCCAAGGACTTCCCTCCCTGTGAATCGTAGCGTACGCTTGGTTCTGCCGCGTCTCCGGTGCCGATTAACTACATCATTATTCACCTGAATCGATCTGTCGCAGCAGCCGCTCCAGCAGACCAGCAGGTCGCAGTGCGCCCACCACCACCAGCAGCGAGTAGTCCGCAGTAGACCGCGAGGAACCGGGAGGAGTAGAGCCGGGACCGCCGCCCCGTTCCGTCGCTGCCGCCGCCATCATAGTATGGACAGTTCGCTAATGACGTCTGCAGGACATTCACACAAACCACGCCCCGTCTTATTAGGGGCTGGAAATGTATGAACTGGCATACAAGCGGGCCAATCAGAGAGGCGAACTCGAGGAAGACTTGCGAGGGGCGTTAAGGGGCTACCGAGGAAAAAATCAGAATCAACATTTTATTTAAAGCATAGATCCATGATTTAAACTCCGGGACTGAAAATAAGCGGAGCATACGGAGGCCCCTAAAGTCATGTTGTAGAAAAATATTTAGGTGAGAATCCGTGTGCATGAATTGCCAAACTGAGCACATGCGTACCTTGATTGTTTATAAAACCGAAGACAGGGCAGAATTATAAAAATAAAACATCAAATTAAACACATGCAAAAAGTAGAATGGGCTGTACAGTAGTTATTGGAGCTGTATACTGGTTATTTACTTAAGTAAAAATACTGTGATATATACAAAAAAGTAGAAATACTTTAAAAAATATACTATAAAAATAAAGATAACACGACTTCAATAAAAACTATGATTAAGTTAATCAAATCCGCACAAAACATACATTGTTTAAAGAGTTGAGCGTGGAGGAAAGTTCATGAACAGTAGCGGCAGAACAAGAGACACAAGTAATTTCATTACAGAATAAGGAGCAGAGGTAATACGAGGAAAGACCCGGTACTAATGAGCATACACACTGGTGCAGTGTGCACAGCGTACTGATGACAGGGAAACATCCGACAGGAAGCCGAACATGTGCAGGAAACAACGGAAAGGCTGGAAATTATTATCCAGATAGAGAAATTAGGACCGTCATCGTCAGAACTCGGTTTTAAAAGTGTTTAACATTATGAATGTAGTGAGCAGAGGCCAGGAGATTTCTGTTGAACTATTTAATGGCAGTCAATAAAACTATTCCATAGAGCAGGGGTGGGCAATTAATTTTTACAAGGGGCCACATGAGAAACCTGAACTGTGTTGGAGACCGAACCAACAATAACTTGAACTTAATTCTGCTCAATATTCATTATCTCCCATTGTAGTGTAGGTCAAACAGGAAAATACTCCTATAGGAGTAATAAACAGTAAAAACAAACAAACATTACATCACAGTTCCATTTTAATTTCAACTTCACATAACACTGAAAAGGTGTTTTGCAGTATGGTAAAGATATGCATTTTCAGTTCATTTTACTTGTTCAGTGAGAGAAATCCAGTCTGGCTTGGGCTTGAACAAGTGCTTTGAAATCTGGATTTGTTGAACTTCATCACTGAGAATGTCTGTTCACATATGTAGGTAGATCCAAAGATTTCCTGCGATGTCCTCAACCCTCCTCGTTACAGTGCGTCAGGAGAGGGGACGTTCTCATATGCGCCCTTTTTCTCCGGGCATATTAGTGCTGCAGAGTCCAACAAACACTCTTTAATAAACTCTCCCTTAGAAAACGGCTTATTTTTTCTGGCGATTTTGTGGGATATGACATAACTTGTCTGGAAAGCTGCATCTCTGGGTGTGGAAAGTTTTGTAAAAATGACTTCTGTAAATAAATACTTTCCAGCCCATGTCTTGTTGAAAACGCGGCATTCGGCATCAACTTTTCTTTTTTTTGGCATGAGTTGATATTTTGAGGGTTAGCTGGCCAACATCACCTGTCTCTCACCTGGTAGGTCGGGGATCTTAAGTTCACCCGTGAACTTTGTTCATTCATGTTCTGATTTGACGGACCTCACGCGGGCCGGACAGGGACGCCCAAAGGGCCGGATGTGGCCCGCGGGCCGTAAAATGACCAGGTCTGCAATAGAGTATAATAACGGGATGCTGACCTGGACTAAAGGCAGAAGGTGGCAGTAATGCAACGCTAAGGATGGCAAGTGCTTTAAAACCCCCGAGGAAGAAGAAACGAGAGGAAGACTGAGAGGAAGAGTAGTTTTTGTTTCCCACTATTTTGGGTTACTCGGTATTACCTACAGTTCCTTGAGCCCCTGAATGCACCACGGAAGATTCTTTAACATGGCGGCTCCGGTTCCCGGTAGGTGCGCGTTCTTCGTGGAGAAGAAGAATCGTTTCTGTAAAATGATCGTGGGGCGCGGGAAAAAGTTCTGCGGACAGCATGCGACCATGGTGAGTTCACGGGCACAGGTAACGTAGTAAGTGAGTAAAAACCAGTGAGTGTGGTGTCCTCACCATAATGTGAGTCCAGCTCATCGCTCTGTGCCGTAGACCTCAACTGTTGTCCACCAGCTATTAGACCCCGCCAGTGAGCCACACCGCTGCACTGGGGGGCAGGTGTCCTCCTCAGGAAACACGGGAGGCCGTCGGTTTCCAACACACAGCTCCAACATGTTGTGGAGCAGCGTCTGCTGTCTCACTTGTGCATCACACCTGTCTGACACGTCACTGGTCCGTTGTCATGTCATACAGCAGCTGTTTCCTGCTTTCAGGAAGAGGGAGGCAGCAGGAGGATCGTCTGTCCCCTGGACCCCAAACAGTGAGTCAGCCACTGATCCTTTATCAGTCAGGCTATGGTCGGAGCAGCATCAGCAGCACTAAAAACAGAAAACTAAAGATGTGAATTATGTTTTTAAATGATTCCTATTATTTTTTTCATTACTATGTTGTGTGTATATTTCAGCACAGTGACTGAAGACAAACTGGACAAACACCTGAAGAAATGTAACTCCAGAGATAAACCCAAACCTGTGAGGCTAACACCTGTTCTGCTCATCACTTGATCGGACACGTCAGTCTGAAGTTCTGAGTGAGCTTTAAACTGACCTTAAGTTTACCACAATGATTAAAAATATACAAATCCATCAACATGCACAGAATCTTATTCCTGCAGAGTAAAGCTCCATGTGTCTGATGCTGTGCAGGTTTATTATGTGGAGAACATTAATGCTGGATCAGCAGATGGAGACGAGTCAGTGCCACAGGTAACTTCGGGGGGGGGGG